AAACCCTGTTTAACCGTAAGGATGTATTAAAGCCTCCGACGACACCCGATGGGACTTTAAAAAAACAACAACTAAAAATCGTGTTCCATGAGGGAGTGAGTGGCGTGCAACCGCACCAGAACCACACAGCGAGTGATAAACAGCCGGTGACACAAGGTGCCACCATTCGGATAAGAATAGCCCAGCACATGTCACAGAAACCCCACTCAACCGTTACGTTATATTAGGTCACCCGACAACAGCTGGGAAGAGGTTTTTAAAAACCCCAAACAAATACCCTTTATTTTAAGTCGGATATTCAACCCCACAACGAGCAAGCGGTAAACACCCGGTGACACAAAGTGCCACCATGCGGATGAGGATCACCCAAGCAGAAGTTCCAGAAACACCGTTCACCCGTTAGGTTCTATTTGGGCCCCCGACAACTGCTGGAGTCGGATTTTAAAGAAACAAAAAAATTGCGTTGTATATTTTGGAACACCTTTGCCTATTAGAGGAAGTAATTAAGCTGTACCCAACTAGGACATCAAACAGAACAACAGACACCCGGTGACACAAAGCGCAACCATGCGGAAGATGATCACTTGTGGAGAGGTCCTGGAAAGCTCGTTCTGCCGTTAGGCCATATTTGAGGCCCAGCTTTACAAGGTGCGAAAATTAAGTAATGAGACTAATTCCATAACAATTAAAATAATCAACAGTTGATGATATAACCAGCATCTGATTCAAAGTAAGCCCCTTGTGCGTCGATACAGCAAGTGGCACGATCTAGCAAACACTGGAACAACGTCTGTAGTTCTTCTGTTGTTATGACCCTTAAAGTCAATGTTACGGCCCTTTGGATGTCATCAATATCATCAAAGAAGCGTCCTTTCAATGGCAACGTTAATTTTGGAAATAGAAAATTGTCACAGGAAGACATATACGGGGGAATAGGGTGGATGGTTGAGAAGTAGCATTTGTTGTTAGGCAAAAATTCCAGTACAGCAACCGCCCTTTGAGTCGGTACATTGTTATGAGGACGAAACAAATTGCCAGGTGTTGAATACAAACCGGCAAGAAACTGTTTTTTCTTGCCCAAATCTTCTACTATAATTTTACGAATAGTCTCTGTATTACCACCAAATTCATCCACCATCATCCTCACAGTATAACAACTGTTTGATCTTCTTGTATCCGTTCTAGGAATTTTGCAATGAGTTTCTCATTACGAACAGAAATTGGCGTCCAGATCTAGTTGCATTAGCAATCAATTCCACACCACTTTTGAATCGTAAATACCAGCTAAAAATCGGTGCACAAGATAAACAATTATCCCCATAGGCTTATCACATTAATTGAACTGTTGCAACGGCGCCTTTTCTGAGTTTTAAACACAATTTAATGTCAGCTTGTTTTGCCCCGTGCTGATTACGTAACAATGCACCTCTGACTAGGTTAACAAAAAGGTGGATTGTTTGTTGTCTGCTTATCGGGCGGCGATGAAAAGTTGCCCTATCATAGACGAAGATAGCCTCTTTAGATTCCATACTGTGAATCATAGATGGCATTTTTGTCATAGCCATAATAAAATAAAATTCATTTCTTAATTGTCGGACCTTGTATTTACGCCCCCCGGCAATAGCCAAAGTGGGGCTTCAAAATTTCCAAAATTTGCATCCCACATGGGGACGACAACAACTTTTACCAGAGGAGAAGTAGTAGTAGTAAATTTTACCCCACTTCGAAATCATACAAGCGATAAACAAAGTGCCACCATGCGGATAGGGACCACCCATGGAGAGGTCCCAGAGACCGCGTTCAGTCATTTGGCCATATGTATGGCAGGGCTATATTGCAGTCCTTGGCAAGAGCCAGGGTGGGTCTTCAAAATAACGAAAAATTGCATCTCAGAAATGGATCACAGTATGTTAGACTGACTGACTGACTTTCTACCCCACTAGGACATCACACAAGCAATAAACACCCGATGACACAAAGTGCCACCATGTGGATGAGGATCACCGTGGAGAGGTCCCAGAAACCGCGTTCAGACAACTGGCCATATTGATGGCTCCTGGCAAAAGCCAGAGTGGGGCTTCAAATAACAAAAAATTACGTCATAAAAAGAACGTAAAGAACATTAATACGTGACTGACTGACTGACTTTCTACCCCACCAGGACATCACACAAGCGATAAACACCCGATGACACAAAGTGCCACCATGCGGATGAGGATCGCCGTGGAGAGGCCCCGAAACCGCGTTCAGACATTTGGCCATATGTATGGCCTGCCTATATTGCGGCCCCTGGCAAAAGCCAGAGTAGGGCTTCAAATGACAAAAAATTTCGTCCTTTAAAGGACGAAACTGGATAATAATTAATACGTGAAGTATGTTACAACTATAAAGGGGAAGAACGAGATGAAGATGAAGAAGACATTTTCCTGTCTTGTTCTTACTTACATTATATTCTACCCCAGCTTTTACTAGTCATTTTACTGTCTACTAAAATATCACTTTTAATAAACACGATTGTTACTACAAAGTATACCAGATGTGGGATGGAACTGCGCAAATACTATTTTGAAGTGAAATGATTTGACCTAAAAAAAAAAGTGTCGAGTGGTGGCCCTTGTCATTCCGGTATGCTTTTCTTGACAACTTATTTCCTTTAGTCGCAGAAGTTGCGCTCGAACTCCTTGCCACCAGACGAATCTCTGGGGCTAGAAAGATAATGACAGAGGTGAAATTATTATTGCTACCTTAAATACTGAGCAGGAGAAGGTGGGGAGAATTAATGATGAAGAGTAGTAGAGGACAAGCAGGAGGAGGAGAAGAAAAAGAAGAAAAGAAGAGGTGCAGATAAGAAAAACAGTAGTTGTTTTAGCGGCATGAGTTGTAGTCGTGGTGGTCTGGTAGTACTAGTAGTCGTGGTGGTCTGGTAGTACTAGTAGTCGTGGTGGTTCTGGTAATAATTGTAATAGCAGTAGTAACGTAGTAGCAGTAGCAGTAGTAGTAGTAGTAGTAGTAGTAGTAGTAGTAGTAGTAGTAGTAGTAGTAGTAGTAGTAGTAGTAGTAGTAGTAGTAGTAGTAGCAGTAGTAGTAGTAGTAGTAGTAGTAGCAGTAGTAGTAGTAGTAGTAGTAGTAGTAGTAGTAGTAGTAGTAGTAGTAGTAGAAGTAGTAGTAGTAGTAGTAGTAGTAGTAGTAGTAGTAGTAGTAGAAGAAGAAGTAGTACTAGTAGTAGTAGTAATAGCAGCAGTAGTAGTAGTAGTAGTAGTAGTAGTAGCAGTAGTAGTAGTAGTAGTAGTAGTAGTAGTAGTAGAAGAAGTAGTAGTAGTAGCAGTAGTAGTAGTAGTAGTAGTAGTAGTAGTAGTAGTAGGTAGTAGTAGTTGTAGTAGTAGTAGTAGTAGTAGTAGTAGTAGTAGTAGTAGTAGTTGTAGTAGTAGTAGTAGTAGTAGTAGTAGAAGTAGTACTAGTAGTAGTAGTAATAGCAGTAGTAGTAGTAGTAGTAGTAGTAGTAGTAGTAGTAGTAGTAGTAGTAGTAGTAGTAGTAGTAGTAGCTGCAGCAGCAGCAGCACCAGCAGTAGCAGTAGTAGCAGCAGTAGTAGCAGTGGGGGTGGTAGCTGTGGTGGTGGTGGTTAAAAAAAAAGTAGCAGCAGCAATAGTATAAGTAGTAGTGATAGTTTTAGTAGTAGTTAGTGGTGGTGGTGGTGGTGATGGAAGTAGGCAAGTAGTAGCTGCAGTTGTAGTAGCGGCAACAGAAGTGGTAGTAGCTAGTAAGTAGACTTGTAGTAGTAGAAGGAAAGAGTTGGGGAAAGAAGAAGGAGTAACATATATTTATACCGATAAAACATGAACATTTTGAAATTGTTTGTCGTTGTCCTGCCTTGACCTTGTTTTATGAATAATTTACTTTGGAAGGGACACAAAAGGGACACAATACTAACCTACATGGATGTTTAATCATAACCAGGTTATCATTCTTAGGTGGTGTGCAGTAGAGATTGGTATTATATGTACGTAATAAACAAATAGATAATTTTTTGATCGGCACTGATAGAAAGAAGTAGAAAGAAAGAAGGACAAATTATACAACATAAAAATAAAAATCTATTTTTTCGTGCCAGAAATCGAACCTGTCGCCTTCAAACGGAGTGTGGCCTCGCTATAGCAACATAGACACGTCCTTTCTTTAATTAGTTTTTTTTTTTTTTTTTCAAATAAACTTCATATTATTTCGTAAGTATATTTTTACACTGCCCTACAAACATTTTACACCCGATTTTGCAAAAATGAGGCCTCCTAAAACCAAATATCACACTTGCTGGTCTTTAGCCTCTCATGTTTTTAAGACATTCATTTGTACATTTATTGAATATTGTTACATTGTTTGGGGAGCTACCGTGGTGTGGCAGCTAAACGCTTGCCTGCGAATCCAAAAGTCGGCTTCGGGCCCTGAGGCAGATAGACTTGCTTCAAAAAAAATTTGGCTCTTAGTTCGACCCAGCTTTAAACGGGTACTACGTAACGTCCTGGAAAGTAGAGGCGGCCGGCGTGATGCTGACCACATAACCCAACAAGTGCCGATTGGTCCAAAATATAAAGGTCTTCCCCTATATGCCCAATACGCCCGAAGACGTAGACTAGGCTCCTTTAGTAATTTTAAATTTTGTTTATGGTTGAGGGAAAGAACTACATTGGCTACCGCATATGTTGGTTGCCTAAATTGTCTAGCTGTTCTTGGGCTGACTCCTAAAATGTAATCAGATTTGTTTTGGGATTGATCACTCGTAGAACTGTGTTGGTTCTGCTGTACTATTTTGGGAAAAACAAGGACAGACCCACTTCCTCGCTAACAAGCATTTCGTAAGAGTTGACTGATTGGCGTTTTCCTTCGAAGTGCTAGTGCATCTGCTTGAGAGACAATGAACAAACCGTCTGCAAACAAACAAACAAAGCCAGATCTGCACGCTAAACTCGTTCTGGAGAAAGACTAAAGTAGAGCAGTGGACAAATAACTAGAACATTCCTCCTAAGTTTACAGCAGGGGAACACAAAGAGAGGGAGAAGGATTGTAAACTGTCACCATACCGGGACCGGCCTGTAGCCATATCCTCCTTGAGTGCCTTGATCTCAGCATCTTTCCAGCCCAGCTTCTTTTGTAAGTGTTCAGCATCGGCTTCCAGCAACGAGATATGGTTGCTCAGGAAACGAAAGTCAACAATTCCCGGAGACGGCATTCCTGGAAAATTCAAAACAATCAGGTAAGTACAGTTTCATCTTCATAGCGCACGGGTCTCCTCCTATTGCTGCTTGGTTCCCGTGCCAGCTAAAATCCCACACAGAATGTCCATCAGATTCCCGTATGGGAAAGACTGACACAGACTGCAGTCTTAATCATTCCAACAGCATGTACGCATAAGGTAGCATTCAGAAGTACCAACACAAACTGTCCAACACTATAAATGCAGTTCATCGCCGATAAAAGAGGCAGTTACAAAAGATCAATTGTTGGACATGCAATGAATCGTATAAGGCACTACTAGTTATCTCGCAACAGGCCACAAGCCATTTTCTGAAGCTGCAGTTTGCAGCCAAACTTTGTTGGGCAAGGCGGATTGGTATTCTATTTAAATCCACATATTATATAGTCGCACCATGCACTCATTTCATAGTGGGTAATGAACAGGCAGACAGATTGGCTGGCTCTGCACCACTGGGTGGTGAATTAAGACAGGACAAGGCAGATGTGGTCAAGGCCCTTTGGGAATAAAGCAACGGAATCAGTAGAGAAACAAGATTATTATGTCCTGGAGAGAATGAGGCACCTGAGTGTAACCATACGGTCTGGCCGACTCACCACACTCAGAGGAAAGGCAAGACAGACATATAACCAGAATGTGACCCGTTTCATCAGTATTGAATCTCTGCGCTGGTTGCTGAAGATGAGGACAGAGCACGCATGGGAATGCCTCGAGTGCTCTGATGTCAATTCTTAACTAAGCTCAACACAGAGGGCTGTTGTCAAGTTTCTCTGATGTTATCTTTACCTCTTGTTCTTGGTCCTTGTGCTCTGCGTCCTCCTCTTTTGATGTATGCCTTGTTTGGTATGGCGTCACAAGGCGTTCTCTCTAACCCAGTTGCTCTCAAACTTTCTAATGCGGCGACCCTTTAATACAGTTCCCTCATGTTGTGGCGATACCTAGACATTTAATTTTCTTTATAACATGAATGAATAAGTGTTTTTCGATGGTCTTAGGCGACCCATGCGAAAGGGATGTTCGACTCAAAGAAAGGGTCGTGACCCACAGGTTGAGAACCGCTGCTTTAGCCAGACACACCATTACATTTCTCGTATGGCCTCATTCCTGATTGTATCCCTTCTTGTGGCTCCATCAACCATTCTCAGACATCTCATTTCCATAAAGACTAATTGTCTTTTTCTTTTCTTGTATGGTTTCTTGTGGTTTATCATGTCTGGCACTGATAGCATAGGGCGGCAATGAATAATACGTTTAACTGTATTATGTTCAAGACCCTCTCAGTTCAGGTCTTTAGGATAACCACCTCCGGCTTCTTCTTCTGCCGTTCATTACCTCATTCAAGTCTTGCCAAGTTGTCCGATCTGTTGCTGTCTTACGCAGCCCACCCAGTATCCTCCTCATCTTTTTTTTTTTTTTTTTTTCACTCTCTAATCCCTTGAGTGTTTTTTGCTCTTTTTAAAATTCTTGTATGGGTTCAGTGGCTGGACACAGTAGTTATACTTTCGTCAAGTTTTCTTGTTTTGTGTGAAAACAAGTCCTGTGGCACTACCAACCATCCTTCATCATCATCATCATGTGCCATGTCAACTGGCGAAGGCACTCATGCGTCTTCACAGATCACGATCCCTGGTTGACTGGAACAGCTCTCTTGATGATATCTCCCCATGCCATCGTTTCAGCCCATCCAGCATCGTCTCTCTTGGTCTGCCTCTACCTCTTTTGCAACTAATCTTTCCAGTTGCCACGATGTTCTCCAATGCCACTCTTCTCATTATGTGACCGAAGAACAGTGTTTGTCTCTTTTTTTTTTTTGGATCTACTTTCATTAGCTTCTTTCAAAAAATTCGACCGTATTAAACCTTCCGTCTAATGGAGCTTTGGCTGTAACTGTAGTCTTTTTCCACCGCGTCTTTCTTGACTTCTTTGTTTCGTTGTAGCAGTTCTGCTTGCATTCACCTTTTAACCATGTCTGCAGGACTTAGGTCTGCTGTCTGGAGGTTTTTCACCGGAAACCTGAGAGGAACTCGTCTTGTATTGGTTATGTAATTGCCGTCGGCTGTTTCGCTTGCGACCCTTAGCGTCGTCCGTGTTTCTTCGTCTTTGTGATCCTGAGGAGTTAGGGTCACATAGCTAGTGCTGCGGCTTCGAACTGGGCAGGATAGGGTTTTATTTTCTGCCCCCGACTGAAGGAAAAAAAAAAAAAACATTTATTTACCAAGAGTTTGAACTTGGTTCTGCTGCATTAGAGCCCGGCGTTTATAATGATGACCCTCTTTTGTTTGGGTCTCTCATTAAAAATCTACTTTAGTGATTCTGTCTTACCAGTTGATAAACTGAATCCCTGCTACACATTGGGAACCATGGAAGTGCAGTGGCTAGACACTCTCCTACCGGACCGAAGGTACTGGGTTCAAATCCGTGTCGAACGTTATTTTTTTAATTGGGCTTGGCTTTAAGGTCAAGTTAACCTTGAATGGGTACCAGATAATTTCCTGGGAAGTAAATGCGGCTGACGTGATGTTTACAACGACACCCACCGAATGCCGATTGGTCAAGAATAAATCATACGCTAGCAGAACTCTTCTAATCATTGTGGAGGGGGGGACGGGGGAGGTGGGGATCGGAGCTTTTGAACTGAAATGCTCGCCATAGGACGACTTCGTCGCCGGCTGAGACAGTATTTGGGTCTGTCGCCTTTGATCGCATCAACACTGCAAGGCTGTTGTTTTTTTTTTTTTTTTTTCATGGCCACTTGAGGCCGAGCTCTGCTAAGCCAATTTATGTATGGCAAATAACCTAGCCACAATTCAATTGTAACCAAAAGCTCGCCCTTTGTTGATGCTGGTTGAACGTGTCATTCCCCCCCCCCCCCCCACCCCAGCAAGTCAAGTCAGGCCTGATACACAGAAGGTTAGTTGCGTATCCTTTACAGGACGTAGGCAAATTTACGTCCAGTAGTCTGCCATTGCTCACTGGACGGTCGGCTTTCTTGATACCACTGTCGAAACCAACGCAAGGCGTATGGCCCGCAGTTGGGATGGAACCCGACATCCAACATTACGAAGCGTTCTCATCGACTTAGCCCCAGAGCCGACGATACACTGAAGACAACAGAATACAGTCACCTGTGACGGCGGACTGTCTCAAGGCGAAGAGCCCCGATGTGGGTTTTGGGACGGTCATACCACGGAGTTTCCTCGAAAGTCGGTCAATGTCCTTCAGAAGGGAATACCTGAGAAAATTCAATAGGCATCCACTAATATAGAGATGAACGGATGGAGAGTCCATAGAAACGTTATAAATATTTGCTATAACGTTATGCTTTATACATTATATATATATATATATATATATATATATATATATATATATATATATATATATATATATATATGTTTATATAAACGTGTTTCCAGCTCATTTAATATGTTTCTGTATGACTGTATATGCTAATAAAGACAAAAACAAAACAAAACCAACACACAAAAACTCAATAAAATAATAAACTTCAAACCTCTCTGACCCTTTAACAAGCATGTTTTAAAAGCCAAATAATTAGTTTTTCTTTCTTTGAAATTAGAGTTTATCTGCCTAACATGTGAGGAACCGAGAGTCTGCATACAGATATGTAAAAGGAATGTGCATACAAAACTCATGTTCTTGAAGAAGATCAAAGTCCAGAAGCTGACGAACAGCCAGCAAGTTAACAGCCAGTAAACGCGAAGAAGAAGGAGAAATGCAGCAGTTATTTTGTTGTTAGATGAAAGTTCTACAATTTCCTGATAGCTTCTAAACACTGAAGAAATAGGGAGAGCATGTATGGGTTTAGAATTGTGTGTGTTGCTAACTTTTCAACACAGACACGTTGCCTGAACTTTTTATAATATTTAATCAATTATAAAATGTTTAAATCATATATATTATAAGGTATACTATATAAGCAAAACATGAGACAACGTTAACGAAGTGTAATATTGTTTTCCCTCTTTGATTTGAAATTCTGCTCCACGAAGACACAGCATTGAAGATAAATCCAAAAAGTATCACATAAAGAACCAATTAAATCTACTACGTAAAAACGCCACTTATAAGTGGAATCAAAAGTGAAGGTAAAACCACTTATTAATAATAATAATCAATGACGAGTAAAATAAATCCGAACATACATGAAACACATGTATTAGGTAATTTTAATCAGCCTTGCAAGTCACGTGACTGAATGTGGCAACCGGCCCTTTCCCTATAGTTCGCCAATACTAGCCCAACAAGGGGTTGCACAAGGCAGAGATTATCTTTCGCCCGTCGGAAGAGGTAACAAGTAAAATAAAACATATTTAAAACCCCTACCTGGAGAGAGTGAGAGTGATGCAGAGGGCAGTGTCTGCTGACTCGAGACTCAAGGGGTGTAAGACGAGTAGTTAACCAAATGACAACTGCTGCCACCAGTATACAGACTCTTCGCTGGCTGTTAAGGAAGTACACAGGGCTAATATAGACTTGTCTTGAATGCTGTGAGGTCAGTCTTTACCCAGATGAACCCAGATTGATGAGCAGATGGGTATAAATAATCAGCGGAAACACACCATCTCAACATCTTTGCCGCCCACCTGTGTGACCCCACGCCAGATACTCCTACCACCTACCTGTGTGAGCCCACGGCAGGTGCATCTACCACTCACCTGTGTGACCCCACGGTAGATGCACCTACCACTCACCTGTGTGACCCCGCGCCAGATACTCCTACAACTTACATCTGTGACCCCACGGCAGGTGCACCTACCACTCATCTGAGTGACCCCACGGCAGATGCACCTACCACTCACCTGTGTGACCCCGCGCCAGATGCACCTACCTACCACTCACCTGTACTTCTGCTCCTGCATCTGAAACCTCTGCACTGCGTGTACCATGGGGATGCTGGAGATCTTGCGGCCCGGGAGCAACATCTGGATGGCGTCATCACGGTCTCGCTGCAAGCTCATCACCTTGGCTTCCAATTCCCGAACCATCTGGCGAGTAACATTTCAGATATGTCCGAGTTACTTCGAAGACTCAGATGGTGCCGGATACTGGAAGATCAGATACCCTGAGGTATCTGTGTCCATCTAATTCTCATTATATTAGAAAGCAGCAGTGACTGCCTCAACCTCCATTCTTAACTATTTAGTAGATCTAAATAAAAGAAAAAAAAAAGTGGTAGGTGCACCTGCCGTGGGTTCACACAGGTGAGTGGTAGGTGCAGCTGCCGTGGGGTCACACAAATGAGTGGTAGGTGCACCTGCCGTGGGGTCACACAGGTGAGTAGTAGGTGCACCTGCCGTGGTGCCTGATATCTTTCCCCATCTTTTTTTTTTCTTTTCTTTAGATCTACTAAATAATTTAGAATGGAGGTGGAGGCAGTCACTGCTGCTTTCTAATATAATGAGAATTAGATGGACACACATGTCGTTATTGTAACTGACTTACAGAGCATGTTGAGAAAGGTGGAGACAGGCATACTCCGTGCCGAGTGGCAAGCATCGCTTCAGAGGTTTCCAGGATATTTTCTCCCGGTTATGCCGGTGTGCTGGGAAATGAGCAACAACATAGACTGTCCGTTACTTTCTACTCAGTGGTCGCCCGATTGTTAGTATCTTACAACTGCTGATACTTATTAATTTATTGATTTAAAATGTCTGCCCTTGCAATACTTGTTATGACTCTAAGTTGGTGGAACCGTCGTGCTTTAGCAGCCAGTTGCTCGACTATGGATCTGAAGGTCGTGGGTTCAAACCCGAACAGAGCCGGTTTTTTGTTTTTTTTTTTTTTGGTTAATTGACCTTCGTGCGCAGGTCAACCCAACCTTAACTGGGTAACTGGAAGGGTCGTGGAGTGTAAAGGCGGCCGAGGTGATGTTGACCACAACTTCCACCCAGTGCCGATTGGTCTAGAATGTTGAACATTGAATTAGGGACACTTCCATGAGCGCTCCGTCACCATCTTCAGCAGCAAGCAAAAAGTTCAAATTCCTATGCTACGTAACTGGTCTAGAATATATATATGCCAAGCAATATAAACCCGATACACCGGGCGAAAGGGTGCCCGGAGTCTACTTTGTTAATTTATCATTGGCAATGCAATGTCCTAGGGAATTTGTTGAGGTCAAAAAGAAATTAAAAGAAATTCTAAACTTAAACATTTTGAACACCAATGTCAACTCAGTACTGTTGTGTGGAGAGGGAAAATGGAGAACAACTAAGGCAGTTACTGTTAAACTACAGATATTCATTAACTAGTGCCTGCCCAGAATAGAGGGAATTAAATGGTTTGATAGAATCACTAATGTAAAGCATTGGTAGAGAACTAAGCAAGCTCCAGTGGACCAAGAGGTAAAGAAAAAACGCCGGCGTTGAACAGGACACACACTGAGAAAACCGGAAAACAATATAACTAGAATGGCATTGCATTGGAACCCACAGGGGCATAGGAAAAAAGGAAATTAAAAAAAAAAACATTGAGAAGGGAGCTGGGGAATTAAGTTGGAAAGATATAGAGGACATGGGGAGAGCGGCATGCGATAGCAAAGGATAGAACGACTTGGCGTGAGTTGGTTGAGGGCCTATGCTCCATTGGGGGCTAGAAAGACATAAGAAAAAGAAGAAGAAAAATGCAATGGGGTCACCTGTAAAACCTGCTGTGTTTTCTCCTCGAGCGTGTCGATGCGGACTCTCTCGTCTGGCTTTTCTGAAGAGACACCTCCAAGGATGACGTTCAGTCGCTGGTTGATGGCCATCAAGGAATTGTCGAAGAAACGAAACCTGGTAAAGAAGATATTGTATATATAATAAACAGACTGTATTAAGCGGCACCCACAGAAAGAAGTAGAAAGACAGAAGGACACACCAGGAAACTTAAAATTTGAAAACTTTAGTTACCGTGCTGGAAATCGAAACTGTCACATTAAAATGGCGTGTGCGCCTCGCTGGGAAAACAAGTGTACTAAGAAGATGACCGATTAGGCACCCTAAAAAAATTTTTTTTTTTTTTTTTTAAAGTAGCCATGTCTATCGTACAGCTTGAAATCCACAACAGTGGAATGCGGACATAATTAATCTTAAACCATTGAAATAGCACTAAATGTTTCAGAAATGTATATTAACCGGAGTCGACAGGTTCTATTCCCGGCACGGTAACTTTAGCTTTTGATTGTTATGCTGTCTAGTGTGTCCTTCTATCTTTTTACTTCGTTCTATGAGTGCCTGTCAATACAGTCTGTATGATTACATGGTAACAAGAAGGAGGGGCAGGTGCCGATCAACACGAAGATGGACACAGGATATAAGTGGCTCCTTGAGTGTGAAAGTTCATGAGGCGGAAGAGCTGGCGAGAGACCCAGTTTCTTTCAAGCAGACCGTGATGAGAGCGACGTTCTGCAAAGGACCTGCTACATGATGGTGATTATGATGTGTTGGGGGATGGGGGGGAGGTGGGGGAAGAGCTGAAATAATTACCTGGATGACACCTGGTTTGGTGAGCCACTGTCAGTCCCTCGCTGGGATCTTGGTGAGGGCTTCATCTGGTGTGTTTGAGTGAAGCTGAGAACCTTCATTTGGAGATGAACACAGTCAACGAAGATGATAATAAGGTTATTCTGAGCTGCCAAATCAAGTCACCATCATCGTCATCATCATCATCTTCATCATTATCATCATTATCATCATCATCATTATCATCATCATTATCATCATCGTTATCATCATCATCATTATCTTCATCTTCATCATCGTCATCATCATCATCGTCATCATCATCTTTTTCATCATCATCTTCATCAATATCATCATCATCATCAACATCTCGACTATCATCATCTTCATCATCATCAGGGTATATTCCCGTGTAGTTTCCAAAGCCTCATTGTGTGAAGGGTGGAACAAGAATACACCCACTGCGTCCCCAACAAGCATGTCGTAAGAGTCTACTAACTGGAAGCTTGCTTTGAAGTCGGAGTGCATCTGTTTGAGAGGCAAGAAACCAACAGTATGCATACAGATCTGTAAAATGAATATGCATGCAACAATCAAAAAGTCTAGAAGTAGACGAACAACCAGAACATTCCGCCCGAGCTAACAGACGGTGAACTCGAAGAAGAAGACGACGGTGGCTATTGTAGTGTAGTATCTAGACGCTCGTCTGCCGACCTCAAGGTCTTGGGTTCAAATCCTTTAATGAACGACCATGAATGCCAGGTTGACCCTGCCTAAGTGGTTTGCTAGGAAATGTCATGGGAAATCTAGGCGACTTAAGTAAATTTAATGTATCATCTTCTTTCTCTTCCACGTTCATACCTAGACTACAAAGTTTATGGTTTTTAAAAAATGTTGTAGTGTTTTGTTAATGTTCGAGATGACGGTTGCGATAATATTTTCCTTTTTCTTTCTTCTTTTTTTTTTTCCTCGTCATCGCTTTCTTCTTCTTCTTTATTTTTTTCGTCGTGGTCGTCGTCTTCTTCTTCTTCTTCTTCTTCTTCTTCTTCTTCTTTTTCTTCTTCTTCTTCTTCTTCTTCTTCTTTCTTCTTCTTTTCTTCTTCTTCTTTTCTTCTTCTTCTTCTTCTTCTTCTTCTTCTTCTTCTTCTTCTTCTTCTTCTTCTTCTTCTTCTTCTTCTTCTTCTTCTTCTTCTTCTTCTTCTTCTTCTTCTTCTTCTTCTTCTTCTTCTTCTTCTTCTTCTTCTTCTTCTTCTTCTTCTTCTTCTTCTTCTTTTTCTTCCTCCTCCTTCTCCTCCTCCTTCTCCTTCTCCTCCTCCATATACTGTCCAGACCGGCGACAAAGTCGTCTACCGGCAAGCCAATTGGCGACATAGTCGACGATATAAGAAAGTGTAATTTTAAAGGATTTCCCTTGACCCACAAAATACTGTAGCTTGTCTGTGAGATAAGTTTGTTTCTTTCTTACCTCTTGGTTAAGCACGTTGATGTCCAACGACAGAGATCGAATGATATCGTTCTTCACGTTGAGCTCCGTTGTCAGTTGCTTGATCTAAAGGCAGAGGTTCAATAACAGAGGCTCAACAACAGAGGTTTAACAACAGAGGCTCAACAACAAAGGTTTAACAACAGAGGATCAACAACATTAGTTTAACTGCACAGGTCCAACAACAGAGGTTCAACAACATTAGTTTAACTGCACAGGTTCAACAACAGAGGTTTAACAACATTGCTTTAACAGCACGGGTTCAACAATAAGGGTTCAACAGCACTCGTTCAACAGCATCGGTTCAGCAACAGGGGCTTAACAGCAGAGGTTCAACGGCAGGGCGTCAGAATTTGCGTCTGCGGGATTAGTGGCTGGTCGGTTTCGAATCTTCTGAAATTATTCGTCGGTTTTTTGAGTGTTCAGGTTCCCAAGCAATGGGAAAGACGCACGAGACAGCTTAAAATCCGAGGCTGTAGTTATACATAAAGTGAAGCACATAAATTATTACTTTACAACTGAAAAGTAAAACCTAGTTAAAGCCACAAGGAGCGGTCTGTTTTACGAGTGCAAACGTAAGGTTCACAAAAGTTGCTAATTTTGAATCTCATTTGTAGAGAAGTTGATAACGATGATGATTATGATGATAATGATGATGACGACAAAGATTACCAAAAACAACAACAATAAACAAGAAGAACACGAAGAAATATCCACCAGGTTATTCAAAGGGATCTAATCCAGAAACACTATATCTGTCTACTACACCAACATGAGCATTGTACCAGGAAGGAGGTGCAGGGGTCGACCAACACGAAGATAGACACAAGAAATAAGTGATTCTTTGGATATGAAAGTACACGAGGCCGGAGAATTGGCGAAAGACCGAATTTCTTTCAGGCAGACTGTGATGAGAGCGACGTTCTGCAAAGGACCTGCTAAATGATATATTTACACACATACATACACCAATATTAACACTAAACGTTCGGAACGATCCTATGGCTGGCTTCAATCACTTATCTGAAGTCTCTACAGCAGTGAAGGCTGACTCAAAATAAGTTTCAAATTTATGCCAGGGCACGCAGGCGTACAAGGAAATGAGCAAGCTGATGGGCTTGCTAATAACGCTACTGAAGAGGGCGGACGAGCCCTGGACCAGGGAGATATTCTGAACGCAATAGAAGTAAGAGAATCCTTTAAAGTTAAAGTCGAGTGGATCGACTTCATTGTACCGGGTTTTATCCCATATAGCTCGATCCCTCTCAACCTAGAGGGTAGCCGCCTGCCAAGAGCATCACACGAAGCACGAACACCGTTGCTCCGGTGACGATCCACATGGATCTCCGACCGACACGAAGATGGGCACAGGATATAAGTGACTCCTTGTGTGTGAAAGTTCATGAGGCGGGAGAACTGGCGAGGGACCGAGTTTCTTTCAGGCAGACTGTGATGAGAGCGACGTTCTGCAAAGGACCTGCAACATGATGATGATGATGACTAACTAACTGACTAACTAACTGATGAACCTACATGCTGTTCATGCTCTGCCGCGCTGTAGTGCATGTTCTCAACGGCCCTGTACTCTTCAGAACGTGCCTGTGTGAGGTGGACAGTTTATCCAGTTTATATCGGGAATATTTGCCGGTACTTTCAACAGTTTTAAAAAAAGACAAGAATGGCATTGACTCCCAGATCGACCCAGTCTTGAGTGAGTACTGGGTGTAGTCCCGGGAAATAAAGGCGGCCGGCGTTATGCTGACCACATCACCCATCTTGTGTTGATTGGTCTTTAAAAATATAGGTCTAGCCCTATATGCCCTATACGCATAAAGGCGTGGAAAAGGGACCTTTGCTTACTTACTATACAAGAAGATGTGGAGTCGTACACCAGTATGAGCAGTAATGTAGATTAAGATAGGGAACAGATAGAGATTTTAAACTTCGGAAGGCCGTGGGTTCGCTCCCTGGCAGAGCTGGACTTTTTTCAAAAATGACCTTGGCTCCCAGGTCGATCCAGCCATGAGTGGGTACCGGGTGCAGTCTTGGGAAGTAGAAACGGCCGGCGTGATGCTGGCAACCACATCACCCACCAAGAGCTGATAGGTCTTTAAAAAATATAGGTCCAGTCCTGTATTCCCAATACGCCTAAAGGCGTGGAACAGAGTTCTTTGCATTTTACTTTTACCATTATCGTCATCAACGATCACTAGGTCTTTCGCAGAACGTCGCTCTCCTCGCGGGTCAATTAGGAGTCGCATGTCTCTAACCAGTTCTTCAGCCCTATGCGCTTTCATAAGCCAATGCTCTTCATGTGGGTTTCCAGGGTCCCATTGAGAGGAAAACAAGAATAGACCCACTGCCTCCCTTACAAGCATGTGGTAAGAGTACACTAACTGGAGTGCAGTTGCTTTAAAGGCAAGAAACCAACAGTCTGCAAGGAAATATGCCATGTCTGGAAAACGGATGTGCATGCAAAGCTCGGGTTCTAGAACACATCTAAAGTCCAGAGGTGAATGAACAACCCAGAAGTTTACAGCCGGTGAACGCGAAGAAGAAGATAAGCCAATGCATCTTCAATATCTATCTACGTTCGAGGAGGTCGGCCTCTGGCCGGTTTGCCGGAACCTGCTCCCTTTATTGTCGTTCTCTGCAGACCTCCGTGGCGCCAACTCTTTCTCTGCAAACGCGGCGTAAATTCACCTATCACATTGACAATCTTGCCAAGAAGATTTTTTTTTTTTGTTGTTGAAAACCTGGCGTTGTGGTCTTCATTTCGATCCCTGACGGAGCCGGACATTTTTTCAAAAGTGACCTTGACTCCCAGGTCGACCCGGCCTTGAGAGGTTACCGGGTGCAGTCCCGGGAAGTGAAGGCGGCTGGCGTGATGCTGACCACATCATCCATTTTGTGCCGCTGATCTATAAAATATAGGTCTTGCCCTATATACCCACTACGCCAGAAAAGCGTGAAAAGAGTCCTTTACTTACTTTCACATTCGAGGAGGTCAGCCTCTGTCTGGTTGTCCGGAACCTGCACCCTTCATTACCGTTCCCCGCAGACCACCTATCGCATTGACGATCTCACCACGGAGATAATAACCCTGCCCTTATGGTCTTCACGCATTACCTACAGAAACAGATAGGTACAATGCTTACATGAAGAACGTCCATGCGTTGCTGCGAGTCTCTTCTCCATTCACTTTTGAGTACGCGACTTTTTACCTGTAAGATCCTCAAATTAAAACAATTAATTGTGGTAGGAGAGATTATTTTACGACATTAATCAACTGTTACCTATGAAGACAGTCAAATTAAAAGAATTTTTGCTTTACTATCAGAAACCATGAGGTGTTAACTCTGTGGCTCGGTACTGTAGAGAAGAGTTTATTCTATGATAGTAATCAACTGTTACCTGTAAAGATAGTCAAATAATAATAATTAAGTGTGGTAGAAGAGATTATTCTACGACAATAATCAAGTATTAACTGTAAAGATAATCACGTTAAAACTAATAAAGTGTGATAGAAGAGATTATTCTATGATAGAAATCAACTGTTAACCTGTAAAGATACTCAAATTAAAATAATTAAGTGTGGTAGAAGAT